AACTTTTTTTTTTAGATTATTTATCCTAAATAACCTTCTACCAAAAACATCTATTTATCACCATGACGAATAATTATCCTTTTATTCCTTAATCATCTAGCCCTATCTTGCGGGCGTTACAGTTTTTGAGGGTTCAAAGTAAGAAAACCTAAACCCACATATCAGATTCTATTTCACTACTAGAAGCCTATCCAGTTTCTAGGTTTTTACAACAATGTCATAAGGTACACCTAATTCTTTTGCGAATATGAAGACTTCATCTTCATCCATGTTTGTTAGAACCCTAGTTTTTTCCATTACTTCTCTCACATTTTAGACTGTGTCAACAATGTTTCCAGATCCAGATTGATCTCCTTATTCTCTTCTTCTTTCACCTCGTTTTGACCCGAATTAACAGGGTCGGATTCAGATTGGGATTCCTCAATAGTTAATGAAAACTCACCCTTTGAATTGTGGGCTCAACTACAATATCTCGAGAACTCTCTTTACTTCCAGATCCAAGAACAAGAACAAATGGCGAACGATAAGGGTTCATTATGCTCAGTGATTCCTGTTGGCAGTGGAAACGACAAATTGTTGTTGTATGCATCAAGGACCTCAAAAATTTGGAGGTTTGCATAATTCCATTCTAACCCACCATTAAATGCATTGTTTGATATGTTTAGAAACGGAAGAGATGTTAAATTGGAGAGATTGATTTTTCCGATGAAGTTATTGTCATCGAGGGAAAGCTTAGTAAGACTGTTAAGAGACGAGATATCATGTGAAACAAAGCCATGGATGCTCATGTTTGACAATCAAGTGAAGTAACTCTGTTTTCACACACACACACAGAGAGAGAGAGAGAGAGAGAGAGAGAGAGAGAGAGAGAGAGAGAGAGAGAGAGAGATGTGGGCACTCTTTTATTTTTTAATTATTAAAATATAAAAATAAAATCAAAAGGGTATAATATTTATTTTAATTTTTGGAGGGACCAAACCCACACACAAACATGGTCAAAAGGACCACAAATCCAAAAAAGTTGGGGTTTTGACAAAAACCCATAAAAAATGCAAACAATAGAGACCATTTTTGTAGTTTTTTCTAATTTAAAATTAAATTATTGGTATTTATAAGTTACGATTTTGTTCGCTTACTATAATTTAAAGTTACGTTTTTTGTCCTTTACATTATTTTTTTTATAGTTTTCGTTTTTATTAATGTTACTTTTTGTTTAAACATTATAAACTTTACGTTGTTTGGATCAAAATGATTTTTTTGATACTTTTGTGATCCACTTGATAATGTATAATCGTTACCCCGCTACATATGAATTCTTGACATTTGTAAATCATATTTTATATACGAATTGCAAAGGAGTTAGTCCGCTAAATAAATTTACGTTTTTGGTCCTTACATAACTCTTTGTAGTCTTTGTTTTTATTAATTCCAAAAGAGTTCTCCGTTGCAACACGCGAGGTGACTTAAATACTAGTTTCAATTAATTATTAATTTATTACAGAAATTATTAAATAAATAAGATAATATTTATAACACACTTTAAATAAATATTATACATGTATCTTATAGAAGTATTACACATACATTTGAAAAAATTAATACATATTTATGCATTGGAATAAATTTCTCATACATAATCATCTGACACAATTTGTAGACCGAAATGAGCTTCTTTATTTTTTATACATTTATATTGAACAATAAATTGTTGGATTTAATTGTCTTCATCCATTGTCGTTTTAACCTCTATCGATAACACTTCTTTTGTAACTTCAATTGGTACAACAAGATCATGTTTATCACCGATTATTATATTATGTAAAATAATGCATGTACTTAAGCTTTTATAAAATACACTACCGTGTTTTAATTTTTTAATATGTATTTAATTTATTATATGAACTCGATACATAAGTATTAAACTTCTTATTTATAATTAATTAATATAATTTAATATATAACAAAATATTATAAATATTAAATATTATATTTAAATAACTAATACATAAAAATAAAATAAAAATATGTAAAATATAAAAAAAACTCGATAACTAGATTTTTAACTTTATTTAAAAATATTAATTTAATATATTTTAAATATATAAAATTTAATATATAATAAAATATTACAAATATTCAATATTATATCTAAATACAAATCTACAAATAAAATAGAAGTATAAAAAAAAACTACAATGGAACTAGAATTTTAACATTATTAATTTTTTTTAAATAAATAGTATTATTTATTATTATTATTTTTTTTATATTTGAAGTAATCACTAAAAAGGATATAAATAAGATAGGGTTAGAAGAAACCCTAACCTCTCAAACTGAATCAAAGAAACTGACCAAACTCCAAAGAAACCGTAAACGCTAGTGGTTGCAGATGATAGGGTTCTTGACAAGCAAAGCGAGGTGGAATTCTATCCCCGGTTCTGCGATTAGGGTTCATCTTTCTCTTCGTCTTCCTCGTCCTGTAACAACATCAACGGCAGCATACAGTATCCTCCGGTCCCAATACAGTAAGTTTTTCAAAATCATTTGTTGCCTTCATGATTTCCATATACTACCCTTCCATCAAAACTTGTTATGGAGCAGATCATCACCTTCTTAGTAATTTGATTTGCGCAAAGTTCTAGTCCTAGAACATTTCGACAAACTTGGATTAAATTTTATCCCGAGGAGTACTGAATTTTATGATTAATTAATCTGCTAGGCAAACTTGTAAAAGCATTAATAATATCATAAAAAAGATCCAATTCTCGCAATCTTTGAGCTTCTATCTTTCTTTGAGCAAATTCTGGGTATATCAAGTTTCATAAGATAGGCTAGTTTACCAATCTCAGATGTGATTTGTTTTTTCACGGAGCTTGTTATTACCTGAAAGTTGTTTATAAGTGCAAAATACTTTTAATCTTCCCAAACTCTTCCGAGCCTTTTTACTTGAGTTGAAATTACCAAACTATGGTGGTTTAGTCAACAAACGAAATTTGATTTATCTATGAATTTGCTCACGGAAGAGGTGTCATTTGAAGTTCTGAGTTTGCAAAGTTTGAAAAAATGGATCTTTTTCACAATAGACTATTTGATTTTATTCCTAATGCTTTAACAAGTTTGCTTAACATGATTAATATCGACTTTTCTTATAATGCGCTCATATGTCTGGTTCCCCTTGCCCTAATTTTGTGAATGCTTCCATCAATGTAATCCAGGTTTGTGTTGAAATGTTACACGACTAAAACTTTGTGCAAATCAAAATTTGAAGATAAATTCATCCTTGTAATTATGCTCTCTTATGGGGTTAGTTTCACTTGATTTCTTCACATATGGCTTCATTGCTTACTGACAAAAAAACATCTCCACCGAAACCAATGAGTTATTACTTCTCCATAACAAGTTTAGATGGAAGATTAGTTTATGATGCAATCGTGAAGGCAATAAATGATTTTGATGATGCTTAATGTGTTTGGACCGGAGGATATTGTAATGTGTACAAAACCACAATACAAAGTAACAAACTAACAATATAGTAGCTGTCAAGAAACTTCACTCATCATCTGAGAGTGTTGATCTTAAGTGTTTCGTTAATGAGGTATAAGTGTTAACGGACTCTAGGCATTGAGATAAGTCAATGCAAATTGCCATGTTTATAAAAATTGACAACATTTCATCTGTTGCATTTTTAAATGAAAATTAGCAAAAACTTTTTCCATCCATTGGTATTTTGGGGTACAACTAGTAACAAAATAACATTATTTGATTATCTACACCTTAATTGTCCTATGCTATTGAGGTTGCATATAGTATGGGTGGTATAATCCTGAATAGTATGTAATATATGCACTTCCATGCTATAATAGTGATCCTGGACTCTGCATAATGAATCCGAAAACCATTATTGACATTAATAACTCCATTTTTTGTATGCTCATTCAGATGGTATATACACCTTGATATGTGTTTATGACCAAGAATAGGTGCAGTTTGTAAAACTGTATCACAATTCACAACCAATAGGTTGAGGGTTGAAGTATTGCTAGGACCCCTTTTGAAGATCAAAGGCCAGGCATTTCTATTCCATGTCTTTCAACATTGCTTCCATAAATCAAACAAGGGTTCTGCTACCATGGTAGAACCATGGATGCACTCTTCTTACTGTAGAAAGCAAGCTGAATCTTCAACAATTAAAGATAGGATATGAACCAAAATGATATGTTTACAACCTTGTAAAAAACAAAGAAAGAAAAGATGGAATATCACAAGGGTTCAAAACAAAGAGAAAGTTGAGAAGACATGGAGTTTAAAACTCCTATGTGGTTTGAAAATTTTAACGTTGTATAATGGTGGTCATTATTGCATTTTGTTACAATGTTGCCATATTGTGATTGCTATTTAATGAATGTTGTCGTTTTAATGATTATCTTTTAATTATTTTGTAAGTTAACGTTTTACCAAGTTAATTTTTTTTTTATTTTTAGAAATTAGCATGGTCAATTTGAAACAATAATGATTAAAAGGGATTTGTTTTCAAAACCAATTATACACAATTTCACAGTTATTAGTTTGACAGGTACATTTGCTTTCAAATTGAATTTCTTTTTAGATTTAACCGGAATTGCATAACAGATCAAATAAAGTTATATTGCACTATTAAATCCTTATTGCACTATTAAATCCTTACCGTTGTTAGTTTGGTAACTAACTAACAATGTTTTTTCATAGTTTGTCATGAGGTGTACATTTGTGGACAAATATGACACTGACTTTTCAGTGTAATACATTTTTTGTGGAAAAATATAGCGTTTACTTTTCAGTGTAATACACTCCTTCGTTGAAAATTATGGCATTGACTTCTCAAGTCTACTCTTGTGGAATAGTATGAAACATCCAAATTTTCCATTTGAAAATAGGTACCTAAAAACAAAAAGAACAGGATAGTTCAAGTATAAATTACTACACACAAACCACAATTTTCTAAAAACACAGCAAAGCAAATAATGCTTTCTTCAAAGTTTTTACTTTTCTCTCTAGCTCTACTAATCATTACACTTTCTTCAATACTAAAATTTGCTTCTGCATCTTTAGAGGAAGCAAATTCTCTTCTTAAATGGAAAGAAAGCCTTCAGATCCCAAACAACTCCTTGGTTTCTTCATGGCTTCCTAAGAATTCCAGTACATCGGTTTCATGCACTTCTTGGTTGGGAGTAATTTGCAATGCTGATGGGAGCATTCACACGTTGAACCTACTAACATCATCAGGAATAAACGGTACACTTCACCAATTTCCATTCTCTATGCTACACAATCTTACACATTTTGAGCTCGGTGTAAACAACTTCTTTGGCCCAATCCCACCAGAAATACGGCTCCTGTCCAAACTCGTTTATCTTGACTTTTCAGAAAATAGATTTTCTGGAGTAATCCCACCTGAAATAGGGATGTTAGCCACTCTTGAAACCCTCTACCTCAATGGAAATAACTTGAGTGGTTCAATACCACAAGAGATCGGTCAATTAACGTTTCTTTATGAGCTTGCATTGTATAATAATTCTCTTGAAGGAGAATTATCTCCATCATTGGGAAATTTGAAGAATTTGGCTTATCTTTATCTCGATAACAATAAACTTTCGGGTCAAATTCCTCAAGAGTTTGGACAGCTTGTCAATCTTGTTGAAGTCTATATCACTCAAAATTCACTTCATGGTCCCATTCCACCTAGCATAGGAAATCTGAGAAAACTAACCATCTTGTACCTTTTTAAAAACCATCTAAATGGTTCAATCCCACAAGAAATAGGAAGCATGGTTTCACTTGAGCGCCTAAGCCTCTTCTCAAACAATCTGTCTGGCTCAATCCCCTCATCATTGGGTGAATTGGCATCTTTGAAACTCCTCCATTTGTACCAAAATCAACTCTCTGGTTCTATTCCTGTTGAAATTGGGAATTTGAAATCTCTCACTAAACTTGCGGTGAGTGGAAATAATCTTAGTGGCCCTATCCCTTCATCACTAGAAAACCTGAGCAGCCTACAATATCTTTCCATCCGTGACAACAAATTATCTGGGAATATACCACAAGGATTGGGAAGTCTAGATTTGGTTGAGCTAGAAATGGACACAAATCAATTGTCTGGTCATTTGCCCAAAGATTTGTGCCACAGGGGAAACCTTATATATTTATCACTACGTGGTAATCAGCTCACTGGTCCTATTCCAAGAGGCTTAAGGAATTGTCGTAGCCTAATTAGAGCTTTCTTTGATGACAATCAATTCACTGGAGATATATCGAAAAGCTTTGGGGTCTATCCAAGCTTAGTTTACCTTGATCTCAGTCACAATAAGTTTCATGGGCAGCTTTCTGAAAACTGGAGTAAATGCAAGAATTTGACAGCCTTAAGGATAGGATATAACAACATTAGTGGTAGCATTCCACCCGAGTTTGGAAACTCAACTCAACTAGGCAAGCTTGATCTTACTTCAAATCATATTGTTGGGGAGATCCCTAAGGAGATTGGGAAGATGAAAAGTATGCTGTATTTGTCCTTGGCTGATAACCAACTTTCAGGTATTATACCTAATGAGCTCGGATCACTGCATGATCTTATTGCTCTTGATCTGTCCACAAATAGACTGAATGGTATGATACCAAGAAATATTGGTGACTGGACACACATGTATTACTTGAATCTTAGTAATAACAAACTCAGTGAAAAAATCCCGTCTGAGATAGGTAAAGTAAGTCAACTGACAACACTTGATTTATCTCATAATTTGCTCAAGGAAGAGATACCATCTGAAGTTCAAAGTTTGCAAAATTTGGTGAAATTGGATCTTTCTCACAATAGACTATCGGGGTCTATTCCTGATGCTTTTGAAAAGTTCCTTAGTGGGATTGATATCAATTTTTCTTACAATGAGCTTACAGGTCCAGTTCCCCCTTATGCAATCTTTGCCAATGCATCATTACATGTATTTCAAGGCAATCCAGGTTTGTGTGGAAATGTTACTGGATTAAAGCTTTGTTCAAGTCAAAATATAATGAAGAAAAAAGATCCCTTTCATCATAAGCTCGTCCTTGTAATTGTGCTTCCTATTTTCGGGGCATTTTTACTTGGTTTACTCATGTGTGGCCTCATAGCTTATCGACGACAAAAGAAAATTTTGCCACATGAACAACCATCAGATGAGGAAGGTGATGATTTCTTCTCAATATCAAGTTTTGATGGAAGAGTAGTGTATGATGAAGTCTTGAAGGCAACAAATGGCTTTGACGATGCATATTGTATTGGGATAGGAGGATATGGTATTGTATACAAAGCTGAACTACAACCTAACAACGTAGTAGCTGTCAAGAAACTTCACTCATCAACAGGTAAGGTTGATCGTAAGGGTTTCCTTAATGAGGTACGAGCATTAACGAACATAAGGCATCGGAACATAGTGAAACTCTATGGATATTGCTCCCATGCTCGCCACTCATTTTTGATTTATGAATACCTTGAAAAGGGTAGTGTCGGATCAATCTTAAGTAGCGATATCTTGGCAAAAGAATTGGATTGGTTGAAACGGATCAAAATTGTAAAGGGTGTAGCTAATGCCTTGGCTTATATGCATCATGACTGTTCACCTCCTATCATTCATAGAGACATTTCCATAGCCAACATCCTTCTTGATTCTGATTATGAGGCACATATTTCTGATTTTGGCACATCCAAGCTTTTAAAGCTAGACTCATCCAACTGGACCACAATTGCAGGCACCTACGGTTATATCTCGCCAGGTAACGTAGTTTTGTGATGTTTCTTCTACATCTTCTTAAGTTATACACACATACACGTCTATATATGTATGGGCGTATTTATGTATATTTATATATGGGTATCTATGCTTAGAATGTTGTGGGGTTAATATAGATTTTATAGTTTTTATCTCATGTTCTTTATCGATGTAGAGCTTGCTTATACAATGGTGGCCACTGAGAAATGCGATGTGTATAGCTTTGGAGTTGTTGCACTGGAAGTGATGATGGGAAAGCATCCTGGAGAACTCATAACATCTTTACCGACATTGGCTGTTGATTATCTATTGCTAGCAACTGTGGGAGATCGTCGTATACCGCCTCCATCATCAGTAGTTGAGAAACAAGTAAAGTTAGTTCTGAGTCTCTCAAGAGCATGTTTGAACTCCAACCCACATGCAAGGCCAACAATGCGGCAAGTTTCAAATCTGCTAATGGAGGATTAGCTTTAAATTTCCATATCTGTTGTACTACTTTCAATGTTTCCTTTTAAGAAGTTTCCTCTGATGCATCCTAATAATATGTACTCAATAAATGCCTTACCTAGTATGACATGATGCTACACATCAGATGCCTTACCTAGTATGACATGATGCTACACATCAGATTATTTATTAATCCTTAACTAAGGATATGGCAAGCATACATGTTCACAACAACACCGATCAACATGACACCAAAACAAGCAAAACATGAAAGCAAACAAAAATCATACTATTTGTGAAAGAATTTTCTACATAATCGCCAAGAAAATAGGCAAATCAAGATGCAACAAAACACGTCAGGAATATGCTGACAAGTTAGACTATCAACTATATTTAGGCTAAGTTTTGGGTACTTAAGTGTAAGAGAATCAATTACAATCTTCTATATCTATACTCCGATATTTGGTTCTATATGGTATCAGAGCCCGATCACCACTAACCCTAGCAGCTGTCAACTTTTCTGCCCTAAATCTATCTGTCGGCTACTCCAATTAACCATGGCCATTGTTACAGCCTTCGCCTCTACATAAAAGATAGCCCATAATTCTCACAAATTTGCCTTCACCTTATCACCCACAAATTACGGGTACCAGAAGGTAATGATCCAACCATTCTTGATAACCACCAACCTTTTCGGCTATGTAGATGGCACAGTTCAGTGTCCAACCCAAAAGATTCAAGCAGTCCGTTCTTATTGATAAACCTAGTTATCTCAATTAGATCTCCAACGATGCACACGTCAGAATGGTAATCATCTCAACAATTTCTGAAGCTTCCTTTCAACATGTTCAAGGTACAACATCTAGAGAACTTTGACTTGCATTAGAATGAGCATATGCACGCAACAACTCATCGAGAGAGTACATTCTGAAGACTCAACTTCTCAAGATTGAGATGAAAGGTGATGAGTCTTCAATCACCTATCTTACCCGTGCACATGAATACGCCACTGCCCTGGCCAACATTGGAGAAGAGGTAAAAGATAAAGATCTTGTTATGCTAGTCATCTCAGGACTTAGAGATGAATATAACGGTCATCTGGATCCTCTGCCCAGTCAGCATCATCAGAGTAGGCTTCAACAAGAGAAACCACATTTTTCCAAGATGCATCGGTGAAAGCTTGAAGCGAGGATCCGGAGTTACGACAAATAAAGAGACCAAAATTTAACGTTTCAAATACCATAGAATCCGTTTTACCGCAGACCATTGAGTATCTGTTGGTGCATGCACGAACTGAAATACTTTGTTCACAGCAAAGGTGATATCTGGTCTAGAAAGAGTGACATATTGAAGAGCTCCAACGGTTTGGCGGTATGGTGCTAGATTAGAGAGTAAGGGGCTGTCGGCAAGGCTCAGTGGTTAAGAGGTGCTCATGGGAGAATACTCGGCGAGTCAGGTCAACATGGATAGTTGACTCGAGTGTTGACTTTAGGGATTGGTCAAACATGAGTAACGGAGACCATGTAGGGGTAGAATGGTCTTTTACCCTTCCCCAGAGTTAGAGAGGGGCTAGCATAAGTTTATTTAGAGTTGTGATTTTAAGTGTTAATTAGAGATGCTTGTTACTTGTAGGCGGGGACTAGACGGTTCATGGGTACACGTTTTCCTAGCTTACTTGCAAGGTGAGTCTTCTCACTATACTTACCATGAGTGGTATCTATGTGTGACCGGAGGGTCTTTTGTGCTTATTTGAGTTATGTCATATTATGCATTTTGTCTGTGTGATATATATATATATATATATATATATATATATATATATATATATATATATATATATATGCTATATTTTGTGTTTTACTGAGATAGGACCGGAGGGTCCAACCCGAGTTGTGGAACCGGAGGGTTTCCACTGAGACAAGACCAAAGGGTCCAAACCGAGCTATGAGACCGGAGGGTCCTCACTGAGACACATGACCAGAGGGTCCACACCGAGACGCATGAGACCGGAGGGTCCATGCCTAGTTATAGCCATGAGAGGCTTATTATTTGTGTATGAGGTATTTTGGGGAACTCACTAAGCTTCGTGCTTACCGTGTTATGTGATATGTGTTTCAGGTATTTCTCAGGAATGCGGGAAGGCACCAGCTTGATTTTACACCCGAGATGGAGTTATATTTTTGGAGGATCCTGGATTTTTATTCAACAATTATGAAAATGTGTTTTCGATAATTTGACAATTGGGGATTTTGTGAAATGTGTTGATGAGATTTATGTGATTTAAAAATCGAAAAAACAATTGTCTGAAAATTTACAGTGTTACAAGTTGGTATCAGAGCCTTGGTTTGAGGGATTCGGATGTATCTTCGGGTGTGTCTAGACTCAAACTGAGGATTTGAGAAAAAAATTTCAAAGAAATGTTTTTTCTAAAATGAGAAAGCGTTTTAAGAGAAAACGAGTTGGAGCAGTGTGTACAATCGGCCAGAGCCCGAACGGTGATTTCCCAAAATACCCTTACTTATTTGTGTTATGAGATATTTATGAGATATTAGTGATGCATGCTAGAGGATATGCTAGGTATTTCATATTTTAGGGCTAGAGTTGCCTGATTTATGCTGCCTTAGCCTAGGAGTTGTTTGTGCCTTGATTATGTGCTGAGTAGGAGTATCTAGCAGGAATCTTTTAGAGAGAGCTTTGAATAGTGGAGTAATCTAGGAGGGATACCTAGATGTGCTTTTGGAGGAATCTACTGAGAGGGTAGTTAGATGCCACGAGGGGTGGGGTTGCCTGAGTCGGCGATGCCCTTTGAGTTGTGGATAGAGCGAGAGGAGTTATATGCCAGTGGTTTTACGTGCTTGGGGAGGTTATTCGATGCCCGAATGCTGCTTGCTTTTTGCTTTGTGGAACTGTTGATGATGGGAGTTAGCTACCAAGTGAATATGACGATATTCAGGAGGTAGATGGCTGACATCATGATGAGTTCTTTAGTAGCTAATGGCAGAGAAGTGTGAGAACCTAGGAAGATCCTGGGGAGTGACTTTAGTAAGATGAGTACGCTGATAGAGGAGAGTATTCACTGGAGAGCGACCATGTGTAATGAGATTGGTGATCAAAAGGTTGAGCAACTACTTAGGAAATCTGGGACGATCCGTGTGAAAAGTATGGGTAGATGTGGCAGGTAGTATGGGCCCGTACTACTGAAAGCAGAGGACCCATACTCGAAACAGGGAGAATCCCAGAGGTTCTAAATAGCAGGTTAAGGGGAGATAACATGGTTCGGGTACCATGGTTCGTTGCAGAGGATATTTTCATCTTTATAGTTATCCGACGATGGGTGTTCGGATTGAGAGAGGATATGATAAACTGTGGGGCCGGGGGGCCATGTCGATGAGCTTCGATGGAGTGTACCTTGTGAGGGAATTGAGTTTAGATCCCGAGGAGTTGATTGGTAGGCTGCCAGTTGGAGTCGCAGGACTTGAGGAAGAGTGGAGGTGATACACTAAGGAGGATTTCGGTCTGGGTTGAGTGATCGACCGATGGTTGAGATGTCACATCCTTTGACGAAGATTACACTATTTCCGCTTCTCGTGAGGAGCGAACGAGATAACGAGCTTCCGGTTTCAGAGTTTGGAGATAATTATGTGGGGTATCATATAGTTGCGATGTTTTCATCAGAGTGATTGTGATATGTTGCTGCGAGGTATTTCTTATACCGTGAAAGAGTCATTGGTGGGGACTGAGATGGATGAGGACAAGGAGATTCCTTGGTCGAGTAAGGCATACTTTTTAGCAGCAGATTCAGGGGATCAAGAGGAGTATACCGGGGAGGCGGCCCTCGTTGCCTACGTTTTGTATCGACTGTGAGAGTGGGGTCTCTTGTTTCTATGATGATCCACGCGATGGAATGTTGGTTGAGGGATCGTAGACACGGTGTGTGATAGTGCATTACTTCCAGATTGAGAGTCGTGACTAGTTCAGGACAGTTGGGATATCTGGCGATGTGTCGGTATGAGATTTTGGGATGACTAGAGGCAGTCACGTTGGGAAGGTTCTGAGGATTTCATCTGAGATTCGGGATATTTGGAGTTGCTTGGTCTCTATCGGGAAGATCATCGAGTGTTACGTTGTACGATTCCAAGAGTCAAGTGTGATGTATCTGGTGAAACAGTCTATGGAATAGACTGTTGGTATGCCAATTGGTGATGGTTCAAACCCTGAGTGGGGGAGAACTGGGTATTCTATTGATAGGATCAACAAGCTGTTCAAGAGCGGTTAGAGAACTGGTTATGGAGATCTGCGGATCGGACTCATGAGAATTTGGTTATTGGTGGATGAGGCGAGGGCAGAGCGAGATGATGCATGTTGCACGTGTTCAGGAAAGGAGGAGGGTATCCACAACGAGTAGCAGTTGGCCAGGGACCTTTTATGGTTAGGAACTCTTCGTGTTCAGTTTGTAGTGGTTGAGTTTGAGACGGTTGGCTCGTTGAGGTCCAGTTTCGACTGTTGAGAATTCTGGTTCGATGTATGGGTTGTTATATGCACTCCAGGAAGGGCAGCTGTTGTTTTGGCAACCAACTCTAGAGTCGGTATGAGTATTCTCACATGGTTTTGAGCAGTAGAGGATGGGGTTTTAGATTTTCATCAACGTGTTCTTAGTCATTGACGATTCCTCCGTGTTTCAAGTCGTGAGTTAAAGCATTTCGAGGTCACGAGTTGTGCGAGTAGAAGATCATTGGTTGAGGCAAGACATTGTGAGATTCTGAGAGGGTGTATTGCGGTATCCGAGTATGATGCCCTAAATATTTTTGTATTATTTTGAGACTTGAGTTTGTGAGATGGCAAGTGGAGTACTGAGTGACCATTGTTCCAGTGGGATCCCTTCAGCTAATTGTCATCGGATGGGATTATCCAAGAATGTGAATTGTGGCAGGAGAAAGTGTCTTGTTGTGGCGATTGTCTTCAGGAGTAGAGATGCTTAATCTGGGTGGGTGTTTGTACCTATCTATGATTGGACTACGGAG